GGTATAGACTATATATATATACATACATAGTTATAACAGTAATAATAGCAAGGGTTAATGAAGTAAGAGAGACAAGCCAAAGATTAACATTATTATTATTTAAAGAACACATGGCTTTGACTATTTGAGGATCATTCATTAAAAAGTTGGACTTAGAGATGAGAAGGAAGAATATGGCTCTTGAGGTATATGTAATTTCATCAAAATTACCGTTTTGACTTATGGAAACGGAACAGTTATTTTAAATTTTTGGTTCACTTAAGTTATAACTATTACTATAGCTACTACAAATGAAAAATATAGGTATTTCAAACCAGGTAATACTGGAACCTTTTGAATTTTCGGTATCGGTTCCGGTACTGGTTCTCCAAAAATAAAATAACTGTTCCGTTTTAGTTCAAAAAAATAAGGGTATTGGTTCCAAATAATTTCAGTACCGGTTCCAGATAATTTAGGTAGGTACCGAATTGTATAATAATTTTAAATACTTATCCGGAATGAAGGTTTTATTAATAGAATGAGAAATATTATAAGACTCATATGATCATACATAGTTTATACACAAAACAGTAATACCATTAAATTATGATAAATAAAATTATTTTATTTTTGAACCTATAAAAGAACATATTTTATTTTTGAGCCTAAAAGAACCTATTTCATTTAAAAATTTCGGTTCCGGTTCTGATTCTTAATATTTTTAAGTTTTTGGTTCCAGAACCGGTTCTTTTAGGTTCGGTTCCATGTAACTGCTTCAAACTGAACAATTTTCTTTTTAGTTCCCAACCGTTAAGTTGGTTTGATAACAGTAAATTCTTTGCAGTATTATAGGTACTTATACCTATATATATATAGTTTATGCTGCTGTGCTATAGTTATGTGAACGATATATAACTATAACTATATGCATATTTTGTGCAGTAGTTTCCCGTTGCCTTCTTCTACATTCAATATACATTTATATACCATACAGTAATTATGTTACATGTTATATTATATATGTATAGTTATAGCATTAAATAATGTATAGTTTTTATTGAGTAGGTATTCTGGTATTCATATAGATACAAATGATATTACCTACACCCTCAAATATATGGCTATTGCATTTGTTGTTAATTTATGTGACTATTTATATTTTATACCTATAATATACTATATATATTGTACATTATATATACATATAGCCATATAGGTTAATCGAAAATATTAAATTGTATACCTACTGCGAGAAAAAAAATCGTATCTAAATGGATATCGTACCTATACTATATACCTGTAGGTGTAGAGATAAAGAGCAAAGATAGATCAGGCCGGAGGTCTTCACGAGTGTGCCAACCGGCAGCTACGGGTTGCACACGTATATATAGTTCATGAGAGCAAGAGAGAGAGAATGAGAGAGTGATAGAGAAAAAAAGAGAGAGAGATAGTGTGAGGGGGGATGAGAGAGAGAGAGTGATAGGGAGAGAGAGTGAGTGAATGAAAGGGAGGCGATAACCAAAGGACGACAACGACAACGGTGGTGGTTTCAGAAGAGTAGAGAGTGGCGGCGGTGGCGAAAATCGATTGCCGCCGACGGGGTAGCCAGGTGTTTAGCAGTGGTGTGAACGCGCGCGCGTGTGTGTGCATGTGGCGTCGTCGTCATTGGCGTTAACGTCGGAGGTGGGATTAATATATTATTTCAATATATATGTATAATATATAATATGTGTACGTATATGATGTGTATGTATATAAGTACTGCTTATAATAATCTATATATATATATAATATATACTACACAGTATATACATAGTTAGGGCATTTATTATACTTGTATATTACGAACTGGTCTATATTATATAGGTGTAAAAAATATCGCGTAAAACAGAACAAATATTCGAGGGGCTTTTCCCCCGATCGTATACATAAATATGAATAGCCGAATAAGTGTACAAATATATGTATACTTTTACGGTATACCTATTACCTATTACCAATAGTAGGTACCAACTACCTATATATATAATATGGCTATATACACATTAGGTACCTATCTCCCTATATTATATACACATTAGGTACTTATTTATAAACCAATTCGGTATATAATATGCTATATAATACCTACCTATATAGGTACCAATAAAAACACGCATTGACGACAACTTTATAGCAATATTATAGATACTTATAGATACTTGTATATACCTAATATAATAATAATAATAATAATATGAATGTCGCAGGTTTCATCAGACGAAATATAAATACCTTTAAATAAGAAATCGATGTTTATGTATAATATCTATAAGCGAATTAAATTTAACGCGTGTGTATAAATGTAGGTACCTATATGGTAATATATTAATATGTGGAACCATTTTCTGTTCGACCAGAATATGTCAACGTGTTAAAAAAGTACAATAGTGACGGATAGATCTTTATCGATGCGCTTCGCTCCTTCGTCTCATTGTATATATTATTATATATTATGTGTTGTGCAGTAAAGTGTATATATTCGCAGAAATAAATAGATACCTACAACAATGTGAATCTATATTATATTATTATTATAACAGCATATGAGACAGGGTTTTCGAGTGGTTCTTTCGAATAAACACGCGGAATAATATAATGGTGGGGTCGTTCTCGGGTAAATAAAATACATATTATAATAATATTATTATAATATCTTCGAGTAAGGTACAACGCTTGTATTATAAAATTACTGTGTACACAAATATAAATATAAAATCATAAAACATATGTATTTGCAGTGTAATCAGTATTTGATTAAATACCAAATAATATATAACTATATTTATATAAATATGGACGTATGGTAGGTGTGCTAAGTCAATGTCTGATGAACATTGCAGTATTGACGAGCATAATACACTATAATAATATACTATATAGATCACGACGACGGCGTAATAGTATACAATATAATGTACGCGTAGGTAGTCGATTGATTTATAACAATTAAAACATAACGTGTTGTGCGGCAGTTTATTTTCATTCGGTAAGTTTGGCGGCAGAACGGAAAAAAGCGCCGCCACCACGGTGGGTATTGACAAAAGAGCGTGTCGTGTTGATTTCCACGCGCGCGGAGATAATAGACGGGTCCGGTTTGCGCTCGCGGCATGCACGTATAGCACACAACCGAAATCGAACTTTTCAACCGCCGCACAACAAAGCTCGGCGGCGGAAAGGTACGGTGTGTTGTCTGTCGGATGGATCGCGAGGGGATGGTGAGTGGGGAAATAGGGGTGGGGCATGTCAGTTGTGCTCGGTTCGGGTGGCAGGCCGTCGGGCGCGGGGCTCGGGCGGCGGCCACCGCTGCCGTCGCCGCGGCCGGTTAGGCCGTGCGGACGGACGGACGAACTGTGCGCGCGTAACGGACGGACGGACGGACGGATGGACGGACGGTCGACGACGGGCGACGGCACGGGCGGAGGTGAGGCTCCATTTTTGTCACGTGACTGCAGCACGCTGGGCGGTCGTAAGCGGCGTCCGTCACGCCCACTCCGTGATGCCGAGCACATGCGTGCAAGGCCCCGTCCCGCCACCCCGACCTGTACCACAGCGTCATCATCAGCACCTCCGCGCCGCTGCCGCATCCACCGCCACACCGAAAACCGTTCGCGCGCGCACTCTGTACGCCCGCCGCCGTCGTGAACACGGGCCCGCCGCCACTACGCGACACAGCCGGTCCGTCGTCCAGTTTAGTATTCGACTCGTCGTGTGTTGCGCGCGCTCGTCCGTTGCGATCTTCGCCCGTGTGGAAATAATAATAATAATAATAACGCGCGCGCGTTTACGTGACTGTGTTTTTCGCGTGTGAGTACTACGTGTGTGTGTATGTGTGTGTTTTTTTTTCGGTCCGACCGTATTTAATATTATTGTATACGGTAGACGGAGCAGTCGTTTTACCTGCGGTCCGTCCGTCTTTCGTGTAAGACGCGCACGTCACACCGCGTACGTACGTGTGTGTGTGTTTGTGTGTGCGCGCGTGTGGTGTTTACGCGTGCTGGTTAAAGTTTTTTCTCCCGGCCTGAGATCCGACGGGAAGACGAGATACATCAACCACCCACGATCGAGACCGCAGCCACAACAGTCACTGGGGTACGACTAACAACATAGTCATACCCGTGTACACGAAGCTCACCGCTGTACCGTAACCTCTGTACTGCTGCTGCGAAGACCACGACGAGATACGCTGCATCGGACGGGGCACGTCGTACACTGCACGGTTTTGCGCGCCGAAATGCGACGTCCCGATCAGCTGACGTGCAGCAGCAGCAGCAGCACTATCAGCAGCAGCAACAGCAGCAGTGTATCGAGCACAAGCAGTAGTGGCCACCGCCGTTATCGTACCGTCGTCGCCGCCGCCTCCACCGCCGCCGCCACCGCCGTCGTCGTAGTAGTTAATACGCCGCTTTGCGAAAGATAATAACCGCCGCGCCGCCGCCGTCGCCACCGCCGCCGCTGTCGTCGTCGTCGTCGTCGTCGATCATTCTATTAATTATCATTTTTCAATAAAAATATAGATTACCTCTATTACACCTATGCACGAGTGTGCCGCCGCTCGTTTTAAATGAATGTTTAAAAAAAAAAAAATATTTCTTTTTCCTGTTGAAATCCGTCTACGACAGCTGCAACTTCCTGTATACGCATTGACAATTATACATGTGTATACTATACGGTATTAACGTTCACTTAACGTACCTATTTGCAATGATTTTTGTATTTCTGTCGTTCTCGCCGTTTTGTTGTTGATATACTGTTATACTGCACCGTATATACCCAGCTAAAATTCATATATTTTCGAATAAGCTTAATTTTTATAAAATATTTTTCAACATCGTGTGTTAACTGGTTGCATTGGTTTATATACACAGTAATAGTTTTAAACGGTCTACTGTTAGTATACAAAAGCAGCCACAACGGCGATAAACAACTACATCAATAACAGCAGCAGCAGCAGCAACAGCAGCAGCGACTCCTCCAGCAACATGGCTCAACCCAGGGTGAGTGTTTATGTATGTATTATTGTGCGTTTTTATATCTACTTAAGATTAAGATACTATATAGAGTTATTATTATACCTATCCATAGTTGTGTACGATTTTATTTGTATTATTATAGACAAAAATAGTATAATGACGAAGAAAACATAATACGTACCGGTCCGCGGTATCAGTCCGGTATATATTTGTATATTATGCGAATGGGTTATAATACGTTATTTCTATTCGTACTGAACAATATTATTTTGCAACAATAATAATCTAATTAAAAAGCCGCGTGTTCGGCATTGAGACTCGCGACGGCGGTGGCGTTTAGTTTCATTTTCGTCTACGCGACATTCTTGGTTAATATGAGACTATATAGTATATATAGTAAGCCCGCATAGTATGCGAAACGTTCGATCGACTATTAATAACGCGGTTGTGGTATAGGTACGTACTCCGTCGGGACGTTATCATCAATAACCTCGTCAATAAAACATACCCATTCCTACAAAATATTGTTATTACAATAATAATAGGTATACCATATTATATTGGTCGTTTAATGATACTGTACTGTAGTAATCATAATAACTAATATGATATTATTATACAGTGCGTCTCGGCGACAACGTGAACAATGTGTTTAGTGTTTTTCGTATATTATTGTGTACTCCGCGTACGTATAAAACGGTCTATACCACGACCATGTATTACATAACGCCACTATATAATACCACCCTTTGAAGTGCTAGCGTGTACGAACCGAGGCCATGTGGCTTTTGTTATTTTTATTCCTTCGTTTTGTCACTTTTGTCTTAACGCGGCCGCCGCCACCGCCCACCGCCGTCGTCACTTAGGCGTTAGGTATACTTGCGGGTTTTTTTTTTATAATACTCTGAATAATAGGTTTGCCGTGTATGGTGCGTATTATGTTTTGCTCAGAATAATGTGTGTGTACAATTATTGTGGTTATTGTTATTAATATTGTTATTGTTATTACAATTTGTTGGCGTTTCATCTTGAACAATAATATATATTATTATTATAATTTATAATAAGAAATACAGTTACTGTGGTTAATTAAACATTTAAACTTAACAATATAATATGATAAGTCTGTACACATGTACCTAATTGTATTATATTTTTATGTATATTACGGTTAATGTATAAATTTAAGAATTAAAATAAAAAAAAACATTGCTTGTTGTAAAATGTAATAAACTAATAATATTATGTATTAAAAAAACAACGACAATGTTCTGTGTTAAAAGAATTATTTGCTGTCATGGATCTTTTAACGCAACAACAATACGCACAACATATTATTTTCGACACTGATGTAATTTTGTTGTCACGTATTGTGTATACATATTAGTAATTATTATTAAGCCACCTATAAATAATAGGTATGATACGTTAATTTCTAATCCGTAATTTAGATATATAACTTTAGTTTATGTTTAGTTTTTACTACCTATAATAATACGTGCGCGCAATACTTGTTTTTCGAAGTTCGAAAACGACACCTCTTTAAATACATTTCGACATAAGATTTCACATCAGAAAATAGATATATATATGTAGAATGAATAGCGATGCGTTAAAATATTTCAATAGCCGTTTAATACTTTTAATACTAAATAATAGGCGTTTTATTGTTTTTTAACATACTAGATTTTAACTTTACTTACATTATTTTATAGAAGGTACATTTATTTTATATTATAATCGCCTATAAGCTATATAACGCATATTTTATAGTTTTATAGGAATTTATTGTTAATTTACACACACATTATTTCGATATAAAATATTTATTATGCTTAGTGTTAAGAATTTATAATAGAAGTTAAGAATAAGTTGGTAGGTGGGTAAATAAGTTAAGGCATTCATATTCTCGGCTTACATACAATTGTATGTTTGATAATAATTTAAAATGTGTGATTGTATGGCGAGTGAATCATTAATATGATAAATTAAATTGATAATAATTCATTGCAAGTAGATTTTGAACCTATAACTTAAAAATATGCTTACCTATAGATTTACAAAATGAGAAAATATTATATCCTTATACTATCATAATTTATTGATATTCTAGTAACGTGTTAAAATAATTGATTTTATTATTGACGTCGGTGAATATTAAAGTGACATTTTATGAATAGTAAATTTGTTTATTTGAAATATTCGTATGGACTAGTTTCTAGTTGAATACATATTGGTTATATTGACTTTACTATTTTATAAAATAGTAAAATATTCCTCGGATTATAAGACATCAAAATGTGATATTATATTGACTTCAGATTATTACATTAGATAAGAAGTTAAAACATTCCAATTTTTATCGATATCTTTTTTTAACAACCCATAATATCGTTATAACTTGATTATGAATAGGTCATTGACTTATAATTTTATACATACACAACAAAAATAACATCAATATTCAATAAAATTAATCAGGATTTTATATTTATCACGGTAAATAAGTATTATTTACATATAAATTAATGTACCTATTCATTAAATCTATACATATACCTATGTGGCAATGTACATTTTAATATAAAATTATAAAATAATAGGTGCCTCTAAATATATTTATTATTTCATGTAAAAAGCTTAAAAATACAATTCAAATTCTGTAGATTAAGTTTGGACGTGTTTTATCATAAAACATAATACTTGATCAGTTTTTTTTTTAATTATGCATATTATATAAAAAAAATAATTTAACATTATGTTTTAAATATTTATTAGGTACCTATACAGTAAACAATTTTAATTCAAAACAACTAAAACTGTTGTTGTGAACGTAACAAATTAATATAAAATATAATCAAGCTTTTAACTATTGAAACTTAAAAATGTTTATATTTAATTGAAAGTATATTTTATATTCTACCTAATAACAAATTATTCAAAAGTCCATCTATTCAAAACATATTTAATTTTTATCTCGGTTTCATGAAATCGATATTTTTTTATTGATGATTAATGATTACATTAGATTAGATATTTACCTGAAACTGATATGAAGCATAATGTTTTTCTTCTAATGTTTTAGACTATTTGAATGTTATCAAACAATTTTCCAAATTAACTCATACTCTGATTTGTATTGGTAATAAGCATTAGTATATTTAGAATATTGTTATTTTTAGCAATAAAATGTTGTAAAATTGGTGATTCAAAGTAGGATCAACATTTATATCCATAAAATAGATATCAGCTGACCCATATAAAACGTTGAACACACTTAAAATTAAACACTAAAACATACTCATAAAACCAATAAAACCTTAACTTACCTACTAAATATAAATATTGGTTGTTATAATTATTGTATTAATTATTATTATAATAACTAGGGTTATCACTTTAAAAAATTATATTTAGGTTTAGGTGACCTATAACAGATATATTACCAAATAATTAACAATGATTACTCTGCATAATAGATCGATTATACTTTAGCGTGAAATAGTTTAGGTTACTCAGGTCGCATACTAGGAAATTATTATTGTTATTAATTATAATTCATAATTAATAGCAACCGCGATGGCTAAAGCGAATAAAACCTTTGATGTAGTGAGCACGCCCGCTGCTGGCGCAATTACAACTTTTATACTATCGCCACGGCAGCCGCCTTTGGTATTCTTTTAATTCGTCGTCATCTAATTACTCATTATTTATATAATATTATTACCTAATCATAATTTTACCGCACTGATTCTACGAAATCGTTTAAATAATAATAAATCATTATAAATGTGGCCCCGGGTTATCATCAATCGATCAAAAATTTCGACGTTTTAATTGTAGGTAGGTATAATGTATTTCATGCAAATTTTTATTTCCATATAGATCATAAAAAAAGTTCATACTTCAAACAGTTATTAAAATAATGATAAAACTCATTTTTTGCATTTATATTATATTATGAAATGTAATTAATTGAATTTCAATAACACTAATATTGAGGGAAATAATGTTTTATTTCATATTATTGGACATTGATGTAATAATATTATGTATGTGTAGAATTATTATTAAACAAAATAATTATAATCAATTGAATCTTGAACAATTATATTACCTACTTCTTTTATATACTTGTTTTATAAGCCAGCAATTAAATTATAATATACAAATAAATCAGATTTGTTTTATACTAATTTAGTGTATACTTATACGATAATCCATAATATTCAAAGATTAAAGTTATTATTTTATATTTTGTAACATATTTTTTATAAACAATCATTATGCAATATTCATTACAACATTAATTCACAACGAATATTTTTATTTTAAAAAGTAATATTCTTATATAGGTATATTAAATTATTTATCAAAAACATATTTTTTTATTAAGGAGTACACATCGCTCATAATTAGCGAGTAATTATTTGATCCGTGTGTAGATGTATGCTATTAGATATACATGTTATTGCAGTATTTTTTTTAATAAAACAAATAGACAAATTAATTCTCATATTAAATAATGAATAATATTTAAATGTGTAATGTATCTACGATAATTATTATAAAAACTTAACAAAATAACAAGATTCATAACAATATAATATAGTCGCCATTATTATGTTTATATATGTTTCTAAATTTTATAAATAATTTTGAGTGTCATACTTCACTATTTTATAACGAACTAGAATACGATAGAAATCTGAAATATAATATCACATGTCTTGTAATTACTTTTTATCTTTATTGTAATGCATACTTTTATTGTCAAATCATTATTAAAAAAGTGATTGTCATAATACCACTGCGACATGATGTTAAACATTTCCATGTATTATATCACAATATATTATATCGGGTGAGGCGTATACTTACAAGACATATGGTGTTTCAAAAAATACAACTGTTATGTGATTTTTTCCCTTTAAAACGTGTGAATATTTTATGAATTGTTACTTTACAATTATGCATGAACTCCTTAGGTTCACATAAAATAATAAATTAATTGCACCTACCTATAAATTAGAAAAATTAAAATCAAAAATCACTAAACATGTTTTATTTTTAAAATACACAAACTACTTTGCCATTTACATTAATTTGGTTTGGTATACTTTTAATTATACGCCCCCTCGTATACACAATAATATGTTAAATGTAATATTATAATTAATTAGTGTAGTGAGTTTAGATTTTAAAGTAGCGTATAGGTGCCTTTATGTGTATAAGTGTATAAGGTAGCTTAAAACATTAGTTTAATCATTACGGGTATATCGATCATTGTTATTTTTTTTTAAGAGCGGACAAAAATTATTTTTATATATTAAATCCAATGATTACATTCAAATTTGTGTTGCAATGAATAATACTTAACAAACAATAAAAACAACAACAACTACAATAATAATAATGATTATCTATTGTAGCTCTGTACAATGTTATACACATTACTATTATTACTGCCCGTCGTTATACCTATAATACCTACCTACCTACCTACCTACCTATAATTATTATTATTATACCATCATTACCGTACCTTATTAAAACGTTTGTGTTGTTTGTGTGTGCGCGTTCCTTTTCGGTTTTGCAGTACGACGAACCGGGTATACACCAACAGCAACAGCAGCAACAGTACATGGATGCGGTAGTCGGTGCGGCCGCCGCGGCCGCAGCCGGTAACGGCGTAGTGCCACCCGGCGTAGTGCCTGGCGGCGGAGTGCCTGGTGGACTTGGGCTCGCCGGCACCGGCGGCATGTACGACCAACACCAACAGCAACAGCATCTCGCCCATCGGGGCCTCCAAAACATGGCCGCAGCGGCAGCAGCGGCTGCCGCGGCCGCAGCCGCACAGCACCACCACCACCATCAGCAACAGCAAGCTGCGCACCTCCAGCAACAGCAGCAGCAACAACAGCAGCAACAGCAACACCCTGTGTCGGCCATGTTCCATTCGGCGGCCGCGGCCGCAGCGGCCGCCACACCGCCGAACCATGTGTCGCCGGCCGCCGGCGGTGGTACGCCCGCCAATAATCACACATCCGGTGGTGCGTCCGTGGTGGTGCCCGAAGCACAGAAACGCGACAAGGATTCGATTTACGGGTAAGTCACTGGTATAATGTGGTGGTAGCCATGAAGTGTTGTGTGTGAGAATATTCATCTGAAGTCCGTCAAAGACGGAAGTTTGTAGAATACTGCGTCCTCGTAAATCATCGCGACACCGCCGTTAAGGTGCTGTACCGGCTAACCATCGTGGTCCGTGTGTGTTACCATAATATAATATCTTCATGGCGTGATTAGACGGTTATTAATGATAACTCGAGAAATTGTTTTTATAATTTGCAATTTTTGTCTAGTGAATAAAAAGAAAATTCTGAACACCGCGGCAGTTGTGCCGTAATAATATTATCACGTCTTGTACGCGTGATCGCATGTTTCCGTTTTGTTTTCGAAACGTTTTGAATCTCCTTGCGCAAACCACTCTTCTACCACGACCATGAGCATTTGATCATTTTCCCTCCAACACGCAGTTCAGTTCCTTTGTGAACACGATCGGGTTTTTCACTGGGTCGCGACGGACTCGATAGTGCGCCGTAAAAATATATATACGCGGAATAATAATGATTGTCGGTTTTTATTTTCCGTCCATCGTTTTTGATTACCGACTAATAACTCTTGTTCGCGTGTTTACGGATCGCGTACCTTATACATCATAATAACAATATAATATTTTAATATTTCATAAGGTGTTTGAAAAACATCAACTCACCGCTCTGCGAGAATATATCCCGCTGGCCTGCTGCAGTTGTCTTCATAATAATATTATTGTTTTATTCCGTTTAAGTATTCTTTATATTTCACGACGCTATAATAATAATCATTGTTAACGTCGTCGTACGGCGACCGCCTGATTATGAATTATAATAATAATTATTATTATTTATTTTTCGCTCGGAATACATGTGCATTTCATTTCCAACGAATCCGCGCATAACATACTTTTTATTATTTTCTTTGACGCGACAACGTGAAAAAAATTGGGACGTACATTATTAGTTAACAAATTAATAATAATAATATGATATACGCGCAAACTAAAATTGTTTTCTATATCCATTCGGTGTAAGTATATCGAATTCCGTTTCGTCGCTTCTACTATATTTTACATAGAAGTATTATTATACATGCTCCTTGGCTCGTAAGTCGACGAAACGGTTTCCTTTTTTACTTTTATATTTTTACATTGTCGTGATATTCGCGTGTTCAACGTTAATTTAAATCAAATATTTCGTGTTCGTTACTATTATACGCACACACCGGGTACACCTTTATTGTTATTCTTGACCGCCTCCGTTTGTGTATAAAATATATAGTGCGGCGATAATGCGACCGCGTAGGTACATTAAAGTGTACCTGCCGTATATTATTGGTATAATAATTAATATAACAACACACAATACCACCGCACTCACATTAATATTTTCTTATTTACCAAACATTAACCATTGTGTATTAATTGTCGTGTGTTCTTTTTTACCGTCCCCTTTTTAGGCACCCGCTGTTCCCGCTCCTGGCATTAATATTTGAAAAATGCGAACTTGCCACGTGCACGCCCCGGGATCCAGGCGTAGCGGGCGGTGACGTGTGCTCGTCTGAGTCCTTCAACGAAGACATCGCCGTGTTTTCCAAACAGGTAATATTTTAATTCTATAATATTATTAGTGCGCGTGTAACATTTTAAGACTTTAAGCGCTCCTCGCTAGCCGCGTACACTGCAGCCGCAGGTGGTGTGCACACACCTCACCGCGGCCGTTTGTAAATAAAAGCCTAGCTGCAGTGTCTGCGGCTTCATCGTTTCGTTTTCAAAATTATTTATTTCTATATTGGTAATAGTTCACAGAAGTGGATACGCCGTGCTCGTCGGCCGTCGTTTTTCGAATAACGCTTCGCCTGCCTAGTAAACCACAACAGTATTATATTTTTAAAAATATTATATTGATTGATTGATTTCTCCCTATATATCCTCCCTCTTAGGTATATCTACCTACACCGCCTACGCGGCACACGATTTCGATTAACGCGGGGTCGTCCGAGTTCACGTGTCCCACACACACCGCGCGATGCACTCTATTTACTATTAAACTATAATATATAGACCTAGGTATATTTGCGTCGTTCCAAAAAAAAAAAAAAACAAACAATTTACCGGTACGTAGTCCATACGCGCGTTATCGGGACCCACCGCCGCCGTTGTGTACTTATTATTTACAACCCTCGAGAAATAATTTTCATTGTATTTTCGAGGTGACGGAGGTGTTATATAGAAGGAGGTGATTCAAGGGAAGAACGTCCGGCCAATATATAAACTCTGTGTGTGTGTGTGTGTGTGTGTGTAACATGAACATAGTGCAGGACCCTTGGGCTATTTTGGCGTATATAGTAAATTGCACACGTTTTACGAGGCGCGCGCGTACCATTTAGTGAGAGAAGACTATGTTCTGACAAAAAAAAAATGGGCTGGTCGCGTCGTTTAGCGGTAGTGATTGCCGTGTTACGTGATTGCGTATGACCGTGTGTGTAATTTTATAGTAGGGCTATGTTATATCGTACTATAGGCCGTATAATTATAGATATTACAAAACACGACGACACACTCGCGTCGTTTAGGGGCGATACCCAGGAGTTAACGGTAGTGGGTATATACAGTGGCGCGTGACGATAAACCGCGAAAGTGGTGCGATGGAAGACAACCCCTAAATACAATATTATATTATACACTTAACCTTCGATAGGTGCGTTTGATTATTTCACATTATATTATTATTATGATTTCTACTGATTACATATGTTCGTATACGTTTTTTTTTTTTTTTTTTTTTTTATTAAATCATACAACTTGTAATCGTAATAATTGATTTGATAAAGCGGAATTTAAACAATAAATCGTGGGAAGTTAGCCATGATAAACCGCATGAATGTTTTAACACGTTGCTTTTGCGCTGCATGTTTTACTTTTCTGTAATGACTGTAGTAGAAAACTGATTTTAAATTATTTCATTATGAATTAAAATTTGAACAATTTCTAATTTTTATAGTGTACCGTGTTCAGTAAAAAAAAAAAATTAGACAAATAAAATAATAACAATATTAATAAAAATAATTTATATATAATAAAAAAAAAAAAAAACATATAGAGGTCCGACTGACGTTGTTGCTTGGAATGTTGTTTATATATTATACTTATATATTTTTTTATAATAATAACGATAATAATAATGTCGTTGGTGATTTTAAAAAGGAGATGACGTATAAACTTGTCTTAGCTGCTATTATTATTATTATTACTATTATTATTATCATTACTTACATAAATGTTTTTTTTTTTTTTTTAATATTTTTATACGAGTACTTTAAACTGAGTATTACATTTATTCCCAAGAGCCGTCTATTTATTTACCGCGTCATAAACTTGAACTCAATACTTATACGTTCTAACAATCTCAGATTATGTGTTCTCTATACCCTGAAACAAATATCAAAATCTTCTCCTAGCCCATAGTATGTATAAAATACACTTTGGTGGGAGAGGGATTAACAATGTTGTTTCTTCAAAATAGTTGTTGGTGTTTAATCTATAAAATTTAGTACCTTTTAATTTTTAAATATTACAGTATTGTTAATCATATTTACTCTGCTTCTCCAAAAAAACAACTGTTTAAAAAACTAAGTTATAAATTGTTATATCTAATATACTAATGTACATTATACGTATAAACAAATTCTAGTTGGTACTTATCAAAGTTATGCAACCTTTCATCAATGTTTATAAGACACAATATATAAGTGTATACATATATATATACATATAAATACAATTATTTTTAGAACAACTCACGCAAGCGTATTTTAGTTTTAGTGGATGCATTCCAAAAATCAAAAGTTGATAATCAACTATACTATCTAACTGAATATGAGTATTTAGAATTAAAAATATTCGATTTTCTTTTCAACAACTGTTATAAAAACCTTTTCTTAGCGCAGTTTTCTTTTAGGTTTTTAATGGGTATTTTTAATCATCTTTATCATAATTATTATAATAAGTTTATTATGCCAATAAAAATAAAAATTTATTACGCTTCAAAAAACGCAATCTTTTGAAATATTCGTTTTAAATACAGTAATATAATCTTAGTTTAAACATTCTTCTATACATCATTAGATAACCGTCAGCATGGTTGTAGAAGATACCTTGTTTAGTCTACCTCTACCCAGCCACTTACTTTGTAGAACGATTAACGATGTTATTTATTGCCGCCATATTCACCACTATCCACTGTTGTTTCTGTATGTAGTTTTCATTCATCTAACAAATTGTTTATGAAAATAACTTTTTTTCTTAATTGTATATAAAATATATCTTAACTTAATAGTATTAGTGTGTATATAAAGTTTATTATAATAATATAATAGTATTTCGTTTATATTTGATTAATTGATAATCTGTATATGATCGGTATTTAAATAAATAATAAAAATTCGTTAATTTTCTAAACAAATATATTCCTTTCAAAATTTAAATTATTTTTTTTGTTTTCTAGTATTATAAATGAATAACTATTTAACTACTTGACAAATATTCTAAACTGCTGTTATTTATCTTTCATTTTTATTTAAAAAAAATATATATTTTAACCTAAAATGTTGAATATTATTGTACTACCTATACAATAGTATTTCGATTCTTCTTCACGTTTTTCTGAGTATTCAGGTATGTTAAGGTGGCATACAAATTCTCGTTTTCTCTTTCCCTTTTTATGTGTATATGTATAATATAATGTTCTTTTTACCTTGTGGCTGGCTGATTGTTGTTGCCCGCTGTGCAGATGCATTCATGGTCTTTTCTTTTCACTACCCGGGTTTTAGGGTTGGGTCCATGAATTCTCCCTATGTTTAGTTCTTTTCTTTTTTTTTGCTTCTATCGTCTTTTTGGGAGGTCGACGTCGTTGTCGTACTCACACGAATGCTGAGTTAATCGGATTAGGTATACTGTGCGTGTCGAATATATATTATATATATTCAATATGTGACTTATTGTATACATTAAAAACACGTAGGGATGCGTCAGATTCTTTGACCTAAAAATAATAATGTACAGCACATTAGGTTTGGGGTAGTGTTGAAAAGAAAAAAAATGACTTCAGTTTAAATCGGCTATACCGCTGTTTCTCACTTGCATAGGCTCATTTGTTTACAGAAATTATATCACACCAGTATTCTGTCTGTCTTCGGCGTGTACATAATATATATAAACATATTATTATCGAGTTTTAAATACAGTCGCGTGCGTATATTATAATTTATAACACAACGATCTTCTCTCCAAATCGTTTCTGTATAATATATATCGTACACATTGGTTATAGTTATAGTCGAGTTTACCGCTTTAACCTTAACCTACATTTTTACGCAGTCGGTGCAGTGCGGCGGTGGTATAACTTATTCGTGTTATAGAGGTACTCTTCTCGTTTTAAAAACCAATTATTGGGATCTTCTTCGACTTATAGAATGTGTAGGCAATCTATCACGGTCGAATTTGGTGTATTAATATAATAATATCCTGCAATTTTGAATTTAGTTATATATACTTATACATATATTTCGCCTCGTGTTTAAACGGGAACCCATCGCAACAGTGTCCCGTAAAGCCGAATGGTCGGCTGCTGCTGCCACACACCACAAACACACACACACACACACACACACACACACACACACACACACACACACACACACACACACACACACACACACACATACATTAAATCATATGATAATTAAAGCGAGGCCACCACACTCATAGCTTGGCCGCCGCCGCTGCTACTCACTCGCTTATTTAGTACTTTTTTACGTGTTGCTACAGTCACGCGCGCGCACGCGTGCGTGTGTATTAGTGCGAGTGAAAATAGTTGTATGCGTTCACACCATAGTAGTAGTAATAGTAGTAGTCGTAGTAGTAGTAGTAGTAAAATAATAGTAATAGTACTTGTAGTGGTAGGCAGTAATGGTCTGATCTGTGGCGGAGGCTGTTTTGTATGTAGGTATATACGGAAAACAGGACGTCACATTTAGTATAACATATAATAATGTAATAATATATTAATGTTAGGTATCTAAAAAAATTCATTTTTTTTCTATTTTTACTATTTCTATTGATCGACGATGGTTTTGTTTAAAAATCACGATGGCACGTTTGTCCGAATTATAATAGTAGGGCGTTCACCGTTATCGTTGCTGCAGACAAAGCAGATAATATTATAAAAATATTAAAACTATCATATCCAAATGGGCGTTAATGTATGGGAAATTGTATTAATTATCTCATAACATTGTACAGCACATAAGATGAAATTAACATACAATTTTAACAAATTCGCGTAATAATAACGAATTACAACATAATATATTAGATGGGTATGCGACGTTACATTATTTAAAACGTGACAAAATAACACACCTATATAAAATACGATCGACTAAGTGATGTCGGTGAACTCAGCTTGCCACAATAAAATATAAAAACGTAATATTTTTATAGATATTACGTACGTAACGATATTATCATAATATATAATATCTATATAATATATAATATTCCATTATTATGTATTAATTTCTATTTATAATTAATTGCATAGAATGAACAACTACGATATTAATTAATACATTTATTTCGTATTTTTTAACTCGTTCCTATTATAATCATTTTTTAAAAGCCATTAATGTAGTACCTATAATATGTTTATATTAAACGTTCATTAATACCTGGGTTTATTGACCACTTAGTAAAAAAATAATGAAACAGTTCGCGGATATTTTGTTCTATAAAACCCATTAATACGATTTTTTATAACTACCTAAATAGCTTACCACCAGGCACCAGACAAAAAAATCTCAATTCATTTTCTGTACATACCTATCTAATTATTTTTCGAAGAGTAATTACCTACAGAGTTCAAATAATCGTTCAGCAGGTCCTACTATAAACTATACATAGTCCAAATAATAATTTTAATATAGGTAACAATTCCGTAGTGGTAAAATTAAAGTTTTATGGGTACTAAAAGTTAGTAATTACTAATTATTCGAATAGAGTACAGCGTACAAAACACTAAGTATAATAAAATAATATAACACTTATATAAGTTTCAAAACGATTAGGGCTTGTGATATTTTTCATAAAAAAACTAAAAAGTGCATTTGTGTAAAATGTGGTTTTAGTTGTACTTGTACATTAGAAACTGGTTATTACTAATAAAAAAATCAATATAACCCGTGTATTGCAGCTCTTCAGTAACTATATATTCTCAGTTATGAATTCGAGCCAAAGAACGATGAAAAAAAAAATCATACATCTCAACTAAATTATATTCGCATACGATGACGATTGTAAATACACGTATAAATACTATGTATATAATAACGATATCGATAATCGTTATAATAAATTATACATTATATACTTTTTTTTTAGTATTAGTGATCATTGTTCATCGTCTATCCATATTTGTAGTATGCTGTTTTTGTTTTTTAATAAACTTATTAAGGCGGCTTTAGACGTTTTGAATTTTTATTTACTGCCATAAGTTTTTATAGACTGTTGTAAAATGAACGGTGTTTAATATCTACTTTTATATTATTATATATTATTTCATATATACATTTTATTTAAATTGTGCATGCAATTAGAATTGAATTAATTAGAATTTTTTTAGATTATATATTTATATAACTTTAATAATTTTATTGTTATTAATATTAGTATTTAAATTGAGCTTATCATGAAAAAATTATATTTTTTATAATATTGTCTGTTATAAAAATATGTATGCACATATTTCTATTGTATATTTTAGTTTTCATCGTTTTCGCCAATAATACTATGGGTTTTTTTTTTATTACTTTACGTCGTTAATGCCGTAGTTGTCGTATATCTTTGAGTTTTTTTAAGCTGTAGTAATATAATAAGATCCTGGGGATAAAAAAAAACCAAAGGTACATTGTGTGTACCGTATCAGAGAAAAAATCCATTAGACCACCTTAACATATTTCTTCACAACGTCCCACGGTCGTTGCGGGACAACAACAGTCGGTATTGAGAAAGAGTGTAATATAATATAATATAATATATAATGTATTTATTGTACAATGTATTAAAATGTATTTAAAGGTTGGTTATATTATACAACGTTATAAAAATGATAATAATAATAACAACAAATTCTGTAAAAGTACTTGTAAGGTATTTTTTTTATTCATATTTCTCAACATTTTCAGTTTTTACTTTTAAAATTAAATTAGTCCGTGTACCGCGGTTTTAGTATTATATACTTTGACGCTTACAGGCGTAGGTCATACAACAATGAATTATTGTTTGAAAAAAAGTAATTAAACGCAGCTTCAAGCGGTTAAAATTAAGTTATTTTTGTGTAAAAATACATTTTGTATAGTGTTATTAGAACATTATTTGCAATTCATTGGCGTTATTAAAGAAACTAGTAATTATATAATGATGGAAATAGCCCCAACTAAAGTGTCATAGATTTATTTTGTGTTCACGTCCTTCAAATTTACAGTGCTATTACGATATAATTTAAATATACATATTGTTAATCTTATGCAGTGTTAAACAACTTATTACTTTGTTTACTTGAAAGTTGAGGATGCTTGTTATAATTATAATACACGTATATAATCTTCATATATTTAATAAAGCTTTTCAGATATTTTACTAGCATTGCTGAATGTAATAATAATTTATGAAGCAAAGTAAAATACCTATATATTTCAAATATAATTACAAATCTAAAGCATAATTTGATGCACCTGATCAATATAAAAAAAAAGAAACTAATGTATATATTTTGAAGGCTAGAACGTTAGGTTATGCATTATAATTTAACAATTCATTACATTTTTCAGATATTTTTATAAGAATATAAAAAATATTTTAATGGGAATAAATTCGTTTTATATACTTTAAAACAACATATTTTTATGGTAGATATTCGTCAAAAATTATCACATTAAATTATTTTTCTAAAATTAATCTGTTGAAATAAACATCGTTAATAAAAAAAAAGGACGTCTCTCAGGTTCATTGCTATTGCGGTAGCCACGGCATTTAAATGTAAACGGCTCGTAAAAGCGGCAGTCGCATGGTGCTATTTCTACCCCCATAGTGTTATTATTTTTATTGTTATTGCTACTTAAACACCCCGGTTTTATACTTATACTTATTTCATTATTATTATTATTATAAGATTTATAGATCCATTTCATTAGCCTAATCACTATGCAGCAGTATATTATATTATGTAGTAATATAATTTGGATCATTATATAGTATTATATAGTAGGTATACACCTATACAAATATATACTTCATATCCCGCACGTAATTATTTTTAATATATTATTATGTTAATTAATTACTCAAGTTCATCCGCCGTCCGATTGAAATATGCAGTTAAAGAATTCTAAATACTCGGTTTTTAGTATAATATAAAACAATAAAAAATATGACAAACATAATAAAATAAAATAAAAAACGAAGATTACGCATGTAAGCACTAAGCTGTCTATACGCACATCGGCGCACGCACTCACACACGTACATATTTTATATATTTTGTGGATGTGTGTGTGTACATATACGTATATATATATATGTATATTTATAGACAGACGCGAAAAATATGCGCGCGCGCCCCAACAACGGCCGCGGCCACGACGGGTTTAATTGCATCGTAAAACCACTGCCACCACGTCCCGCGCGCGCCCGCCGACCAACCGACCGGCTGGAAGGCTGACTACAAAATCGTATCCGCGCAGTTACATTGTTGTTGCTTATTGCTACGGCTAAATCGAAAAATGCGAGAAAAAAAAAATCATGAAATAAATTTGAAAAACGACTTACGGTCGAGCCTTATATTACCTGCTGTTCTTTTTAACAACCAATCCATAAAATTACCAATGTGTGACAGCGGCGGCACCGTTAACAATATATTACAATATAATATATTATTGTATTCGAATACCACCTACTTATAGAAAAATTACTGCAATAACGAACCATAATCTTAATATTAAACGAATATATAATTTTTTTTTAAATATATGTGAAAATTAATCACATTTTATGGTATTGTGTTTTAGATACGTCAAGAGAAACCGTTCTATATGGCTGATGCTGAAGTTGACTCATTGGTAAGGACATAATAATATTATTATTTTTATTCTTTTTTACGATTCAAATACATACATCGTTTTTAAAATGTATATTACCTAGACTGTAGCACAGTTGTAAAAGGCCCCATACACAATCAATTGTGTATTGTATCAATAATCAATTGTCAGTAAATATCAAAATGATTTTGACATTTTCAAATATTGAACACGCATTCAATACAATCAATACAGAGACAATATAGTATTTTATTGATATAACACAATTTACTGCGTATTGGCCCTTAAGATTTTTTAGAAAATTTAATATTGGATTGAGGTCTGGTAGACTTGTACCTAAACCTACACATATATGAGTGTGATTGCTGGAAATATCAGTATATAATATATAGTTATGCACTTAAACCTATACTGGTCACTTCCACTATAATATTATTATGTTTGTCCCTGCCGTCTCGTTTGCACGGTCAAGTGAACAATATATTGGAGTTAGTACAATGCATGTATATATATAACAAATACAGCTCGTTAGCGTTCGTCATCTCTGTCGGCTTACTGCGATTCAAGCAAGAGGGAAAACGCGTGTCGCGCTCACCACTATAATAATATAATATACAGACGTATAGTCTTATTACTATTATTTAATTCCACAAAAACCCCGTAGTGATCAATTTGGTGATGAAAAAATAAAGATCAATTGCAATGAGGCGTAACTATAAACTAAAAGGAAATTGAGTATTACCTGCACCGTCGACGCTGCCGTCAATGATTATAATATTATATAGCACATTAAAAATAATGACGTTAAGGTGAGATGGAAGACATTATGGATGGTGTACCTATCCTATACGATGGTGCTAAAAATTAGGAAATTGTAGCGGCGTACACGGTATGTGTCTAAAACCAGCACCAAAACAGAAACCTAACTGACCAGAAACTATAACAATTACTGAAGGTGCCAATATATATAGAGAGTGGCACATCTATATGATGCATACTACGGGCCAGAGAACTGTTGGACCGTGATTATTGTGACATCGTGATCCGTGAAAATACTACTTAAACAGGATGTTGCGGCGGTATCGTTTACTCGTATCTCTGCAGTTACATGAAAAAAAGAACGGACAACGGCGATATTTCTCATACGACACAAAATTAAAAAAAAAAAAAATAACGACGACGGCCAAAGACAACGTAACAAATAACGCGATATTAATATAATATAATATATAAATATTTCTCCCGTGTGTAAACGTATAAATATAAATATAATTATAATTATTATTAAATATATATACACTAAATATCTTATACACATATATTATGTTTCTCTGCGGGGGACAACTACTTATATAAAAGCAGCACACAACATATGCGCCATCATCATCGCATCGCTATAGCACAACGCAGAAGAGTGGAAAATGGAATCCTGTTGACCTTATGTGTTGTTGGCCTCTCTGAGTTTGTGTGTGTGTGTCGCGCGCTCGTGTGTGTGTGTTTTTTTCTTCCACATTTTTACACATTCCAACACCATACGTCGTCCGCGCCGTCCGCGTCGTCCGCGCCGTCCGCGTCGTCCGCGCCGTCCGCGTCGTCCGCGCCGTTGTCGTCGTCGTCGTTGTCGTCGTCGCCGCCGACGAGGGTACGTACATAATATTGTAACAGCTATAGTCGACGGACCGACCTGTAGTAGAGGGTGTGTCGAATTCGTGGAAGGTGTTCGCCGTCTCTCTTTCCGAGAAGCGAAAAAAAAATGAAACGAAACGAAATAATATTATGTATATCCCTCCGGTGCACGATGCTCATAATATAAAATCACACACACACACACACACGCTACGGTTAGTAGTTGTATAGTGTATAGTTGTTGGCTACGGTTCGTTATTATAAATGTACCATCATCATTTTGTTGGCATTCGATCAATTAAACGTATTATTAATAGAGTTTTTAATTTTAGACCAACAGCGTCGTGTTGTACTTAATATACTTACTATATAATACTCATATATAATATCGTATAAGTACGTTATTATAGTTTTTCCGTCAATTTCTTTTTCCACTGCATTATTATGATTGCCCGCCGCCATTTTCACGTTTTTTAATACACTGTATAATATTAATAAATATAAAAATAAAATAAAATATGGTCTCCAACTCATGAGAGTCCCAAAGGGCAAAGCGGCGGCGGTGCTCACAAATAGCTTATAATTAAAAAATATGTGGCAGCGATTGTAAACCGGTTTACCTGGACAATGGGAGTCTGGTGAACATATATATATATATATATTAACTTATATACATACATATACATGTAATATATATATATATACCTATGGGTTTCTTCTCTTGATTTTTCTCGCATTTGAATCGAAATGAGAATGACATAGGTACACGTTTTAATTATGATTATATTATTATTTATTATATATTTTTTCAATGAATAAATCATCTCGCATTAATAATTTAAATTCATTAACCATTGTTTGTATAATGTTAGTATAACCACACTAATGTTTGTTTTTGTTGTTCATTTGTTTATTATTGTAATAGTACTAATAGATCTGTATCGTTAAAGCTTGTTGAATCATTATATTTTTTAATTCCCCACAAATAGCGATTAACTTCATTTTATTATCTAGTATTCTAATTTCTAGTGATTGTTACAAATTCTAGTATTGCGTATTTATACTATTTATATTATACAGGTGTATAATATAATTATTTCTATAGCATAACAAATAATAAAACCCAATCAAAACGGTTTCATGCAAAAATGTTTTAACTGTTTGACCTCGTTCCCACTACTATATAGAGCTAAACACTTGTGTATCGTATATTTTTTTATTATTTTCATAAAAAACTGTATAAATGGGTATATAATTTAATTACCGACAATACGCACACAAGCATCAGTCAACAGCGTTAAAAATCTTCAACACACGAGAATCGACGATCACGTTAATTAATTATAACTACCGACCGCCAAACCACGCGTCGATATAATCGCGGATTAAATAAAAAACGACCAACATGACGTACACTACATATAAATCAAAAATAACGTTTCAATTTGTAACAAGAGTAGTTAGGAGGAGGACGGCAACAGCGACGGCAATATGAATTATAGTCTCTTGGTGGTAGTGTGTGCGTGTGTGTGTGTGTTACACCATACGGCAGGTCTTATATACCTATGAAGCCATGCTCGTCATCACTACCTGTATACAGATAGTGATGGTTTAATATTTACAAAAAAATAAATAAAAAATTTTTAATTAATATTTAGTACCTATCGTATAAATATTATATATAGGTATATCCGTACAAATTAGTTGTATTATAATGTGCTATAATTTAGAAAAAACTAGTCATTCTTGTTATCGTGTAAATAGTTAAATAAGTTATAAAAATTAAGAAATTAATTTAAAATCGTCATCAAATTTTAAAACTATTTATTACACACTTATGTATTATTACTATGTTGCTACAACTACTACTAGTTACTTACATTACCTCTATATTATATATCTATTTACTACAGTCTACAACTTCTACTATTACGACTATAATAGGTACTATATATTACTACTACTAACTACTACTATTACGTAACTAGTGTTACAACTGGGCGTGATTTATTATAAGTGTAAAAAAAATGTTTAACGACTAATAAATCATTAAATATGTCTTTTTTACAGATGGTGCAAGCAATTCAGGTGTTACGGTTTCATCTATTGGAGTTAGAAAAAGTAAGTATTTAATTAGAATAAATATGAACGTATAACGTACAATAAATTAGATTAGGCGCAAGTATAATTTATGAGTGTTTAAAAAAGTCTACTAGTTGGTACATCGTACATATGATTTCAGTTAAAAAAAAAAAAAAAAAAAAACGACAATGAATTCTATGATAAATATTTTTAAGGTTTTTGCACCGATAATGACGATAGTCAACTATTTTATTTTTTTTTTTATACATACGTGTAACGTATTCACTATACCTATTTATATATATTATTATAACATAATAATGTTACCCGTCTTATATATGACGGTGTGGTCTAACCATGAAATGTGACCGATCTGCAACGGCCGTGGTAACACTACACCATCACACACATGTGTTTCTTATTTTATTTTTTTTTGGGAAATTCTTCATAATCCTCCGTAACTAACGGCCCTTCGTCACGTATACATATGTGTGCGTGTGTGCCTGGCCGCTGTCGCAATATCGTGCGAAATAATATTACGATAACGGTACACGTACTAGTGAATAATAATAATAATAATAATAAAAGATGTACGTATTTATATATTACACGAGTGCCTATATACGTTTAAAAATATAATTTTTTTTTCCTTACAGGTTCATGAACTGTGTGACAACTTTTGTCATCGTTACATCAGTTGTTTGAAGGGAAAAATGCCTATTGATCTCGTAATCGACGAACGGGATTCGTCGTCGTCAGCGTCCGCAGCAGCAGCTGGTGGAGGTGGTGGAAAGTCCATGTCCGAACTTGGAGGCTTAGGCGGTCTAGGAGGCGCTACGAACGGCAACAACGACGGCCGTAGTAACGCAGATTCAACATCACACACAGACGGGGCGAGTACGCCAGACGTGGTGAGTACATACATATAGATAATTAGTAGTTAATGATATCGTGTAATAGGTATAGTATACGGTACTAACGTACCAGTTTTGAGAGAAAAAAAGTATATCACTAATTTCGAAACCGCCATCATTGCATCAAATTATACTACAGGCCGCAATCGAATCTATATTGAGATCCGTTTTTAGGACTTTGTTTATTAATGATTAGAAATATGAACACTCAACAAGTATCACCTCGTTAGAATCGCTCAAAGCGTTACTGTTTGCAAGATTATGCGCTCGAATGCGGCAGATACGCATATAAATAGTAAGACTGATTTCGCCGCTTGTTTTCCTGTCGGTATTGGCGACAATGTTTAACGCGTATTAACACGTATACATAATATATGTAATAATATTATATGCAGCCGTCGCCGCTGCGTTCTCCTCGTGTCACTGCACGGTATATGTAGAACCGCCACATTTTCGTTGTTGGGAGGACCGATGTGTTACTATTACTATATATATATACATATTCACGTATGTATAGGGGGACCACCGCGCTCACACATGCACACACTCACATATACACGTATAGTCACTGGGTTATAACAAATACAATAATAGGCATATACACTTACACATGCACACCGGAGGGTGGGTTAGGAGGGTGCAGGGTTGCGCGTGAAACGAAATAATAATAATAATATAAAAAAAAAGTTGAGAATTTGCGCGCGTTTGAGAGCATTGTAACACCACCGGTATATATATGTATATGTATACATACACCGGGTGCGGCCGTGGCTTCTGTATTATATACGTACTATACGTGTATTATACCGGCCGAGGCCCCCGTCCCTGTCCCCCTTCCACTCGGGTGTATACGTTTATTTTTTTTTTTATTTTGGGGTGCGAGCGAAAAACTCCTCGTCGTCAGTGGTGGCGCAGGAGATGGGTTTTTACTGCCGCTGCTGGTAATTGGTGTCAATTCGACGGGCGACCATCATTCACACCACCACCGCCGCCGTCACACCGTACATACGCGTATATATCCATCCCCTTCGCGCCCCTTCGCCCTTCGTCAAACCGACGAGGGTATACTACTGCTGCACTACTACAATAATAGTAATAATGACGACGCCGACAGGGGGAAATCGGTTTTTTTTTATTATTATTATTCGGCTTACACACGTGGTACATCATTGTGTTTTCTCTCTGCCGCCTTTCTGGTTCGCAATCGTCAGACTAGTTTACACGGGCATACAAAAACGCCGGCGTCGTGGGTAGGATCTCAATGTCGTAGGTATTATATTATTGTATATGGTGGGCTAACGAAATTGTTATTGAAAAGGGCTAGAGTTTTACCGTGACTGATCGACAGAGGGCTTTTGTCTTTTGCAGTATTGACATGGAATCCGAGGATATTTCAGAACAGACAACAAATTATATTTTAAAAGTGCATTATGTTAAACAGAAAATAACTTAAATTATAATAATATATATAATGCATATTATATCAGCTGATTAGAAATATTATATTATAATTCATAAATCCCATTCTGTCGGAACTGGTTATAATAATACGAAGTAGTGAACTGCTGTTTTTACGTGCTTGAGCATAATATATATAACCATTTTTTTTTCTTTCGACAACATCTTTTTACCATATTCTTGTGTATATTTATTATGCATAGCTATTATACGTTTTCTCATGGATATTAATTTTTTTTTCGAAAAATTATTCCGGATACTCGTACTAGTGTAGTATAATATATATTTTTATAATTATATCACCAGCTGCATGATATTATATCATAGTGATGTGTGTACGAGTATATACACATTATTTTGCGCGCCTTGAGTATGAACCTACTCGCGTATGACTATAGTTAGTTTTTAGACAAAGACACACGGGACGCTATTTATATATTCATCCGTCGTACATGTGCGCGGGGTGGCGGCGGCGGCGGGACATGGCTATTTGGGTTTTTGAACCGCCAAATGAACGAACACAACCCATAGACACTACGGACTAGAGAGGAGATATTTCCGTGAAACCGAATGCCAACGAACGCTCCATACTAACGCTGCGCGTGCTCGTGTATTCCGAGATGAGCCACAATGTGACATCGTATATTTTCATCTCGCATTAATGTACAGATAAATCAGCGGCCCACCGCCGTATATATTATATAATATTATCTTATAATGCACATAAAATGTATAAGTGTGTGTGTGTGTGTGTGTACACGATGATAAACACGTACGCGGGTTATCGCGATCATCACGGTTTATTCAAGTAGTGTCTGTTACGGCACTTGACTGGGAGGCGGTTTGTTGACGAAATGCGTCCGTTCAAGTATCGACGACGATGATACTATAATGTAGTAATGAATTCGACTGCATAAGTTTATTTTTTTTACTCGCTAGAATTATCGTCGACGAACGACGTCGTCCAGGCGCATGATCGTCGGAACTTTTAGAAGTTTTAACCGATTGCTCAAACCTCCGGCGTGTGGTGTCAAAACGTGCAGAAGGTTTCAGTGCACCGTCGAGGAGAGCCTCGTAATTGAATCTGAGTTTTGCTATAATATAATATTGTATTGCAGCGCGTACGGTAATTTTAGATTTGATTTAATAAAATCGTGTGGGGCATCCAGTTATTGACGGTTGCTGTATGTTTCATACTGCTGCGGCGGAGACGAGCCGCGCGTTAACCAATGCGTTTTTAAGTATTTATAACTTAAAGGTAATGGCATGGAATTGTGTAATATGATAATCTCCGTGCCCCAACTTTGGACAATCTCTCGTAGGGTGGTTGTTATATTGGTGTAATTTCGTTATATGTGCGCCCTACTCGACGTGTGTCATTTTTTTTTCGTTTGAGTGACTGAGCGCTCTCGGCGCTTTTATTCGTCGTTGTCAGTGAATTATTTCATTATATTGCCATCACCACTAAATATAATTTTATTAATTTCAATTACTTTGACATCGCTGTCCCGCAAATGAAATTTTTAAGAAAAGCAGTCGAAGTGGTAAAAATATTGTAATGTCGTTATGTACTTATATAATATTATGTACGTGTACCTATTAAATACTCTACCCAAAGTTACAAATTAAATTAATTATAACACAACTAAATTAATATCAATGCGATTAAATTTCTACTTCACGTTCTTTTTTTGCTTCCAACTATCAAATAATATAGCTATCCAATTACCAGTAAAAAAAAATGATATACAATTATTTTTTTGGTAAAAATATTAATCAAACAATTTTGTGTAAGTCTAGAAAAATAACCGAAAATCTACTATTTACCAACTTTTAGCGCTGCAGCACTTTTCAGGAGTATATATTAATATTTAAAATACCAAATATTTAACTCGTTATACCTATAATTATTATACAGCGTAATAGCCGGAGGTCGGTGTACACTCGTTAATAAAACGTGCATACATTCGTGCTGAAATATTAATTACACTACGCGTATTTTTGGACCGATAAAACGTTCTCACTTCTCGGTGATAATACTACATAATATAACAATAATATTAAAATTCCTACTATATAATATAGTACTGCTATATATATTATTATTATTATTATGATAATAATAATGATATACAGTTTCAAAAAGCTCTGGTGTAATATAATGCGGCGGCGGCGACGAACGTTGCACGGTCTGCAGTGTTACTATACCTAATTAGATAATGTACAACAATTCACAACGGGTCACGGGACGGGGCGGGGAGGTATAGTGAAATAATAATAATAAATGCACACGTCTATCCACCCCGATACACACACACACACACACACACTTACACATAATAGGATTTGTAGCCAGACGGTGGTGTTTTTCACTTTGCTCAATTGCTCGTCGTGCCGCCGCCGTTGCTGTAGATGTTGTCAATAGTTAATGATAAAAGGGAGCGCGACGCTTAGCGTATATTTTCCCCCGCGCGTAATTAGACGTGTATATCGCGTATATATCGTTGTGTTTCTCCCCGGCCACCATCGAATCCATCCCTGCCCCGGCATGATGGACTGCAGGAGGGCATACGCGCTGCAGCACGGCCGCCGTCCGTCCGTCCGGCCGGCCAGCCAGCCAGCCAGCCAGCACACCGACATCATGACACACGCACACGACTACATACCGCATGCACTGTCGCCGCCGCTGTAATCCGATTAGGTTAATCGCCATTGCCGGTCGATTAACTTAAAGTCAACCGAATGTGTTGGACGCGGACAACTAGGGTTTCGCCGTCGTGTTTTTATTATACTATTCCTCAATAATAATACATCAACGTTTTTTAACGACATCAATTTTTTTTATCACTACCTGTGTATACCGGCCGCCGTGGCGCCGAGTCTTTTCAAAAAGATGATTTCGTTCCAACTGTATAGTTAATACCTATACTAATCTTATAAGACCAACCATATAATAATGAAATATTAATACATTTCATTATTCGTTTCATAAATCTAGTTCAATATCAATACTTAAACGCAGTACGAGTACCTACATAGTATTATATTATTCCACATACCTATATTACGAATTACCAATTATAATTGACACTAGAAATTAAATAGTGTTATATAGTTGGTTTTTAATATTATGCATTATTTATGAAATGTTCTAATAGCGATATATTTATACATAAAAATGTATACTAAAAGTATTAATTTTAATAGATAATGTATTTTTATCCACACACAATCTATAAAAGACTTGTACATTACGTATGCAGTTAAAATGCACCACCTTAAAGTTACATACTCGCATACTTGCTCAAATGTACCTACTCGCGAAGCCACTTTAGTTTATCAATTAAATTTTAGTTTTCATGAAAAGTTATATCATAGTTATATCATAGTAATAATGGGAAATAAATTATCCGGTTCCGTATCATGTTTTCGTTTCATAATTTTATATATCCACAGTGCAATGACACTATATGTCGCCCGAATTCTAATTTTAATTCTGATAATAAGTTATGGGTATTATTTTTTCTACTTTAGTTTGA